TTATCTTTTCAAATTTGCCGATTTTCTGTACCATTTTTCGTTCTTTATTTTTTCTATAACTTTCTTAAGTTAATTTTTCTTTTTCTTTCGTGTTCATATTTCATTTTTGCTTAGTTTTATATTCTTATTCTTTTTTGAAGCCGTTCTCTATCGTTATTCTTTCCTTTCCAATCATAACTTTTACTCCTTCACACTGTATTTTAATATTTTCCTTCGTTTTTTCTAACCTCCTTTCATTAGATTTCTCTCTCTCTCTTTTTCACACTTTTTTTACAGATTTTTTCTTCCCTCTATGTGCTTTTACCAGCTTTACTTTTACTTTCTTCCCTGTTTTATGCATTGTGTTTATTTCCTTTTTATTATCAAACTTTCTTTTCTTCGTTTAGATGTTCTCTCTTTAAGACGTTTTTTTTATTTCTAGTTTGGTTGTTGCTCTCCATTTTCCTTTTTCTCATCTCATCGTTTTATTAAAAAAACAAAAAACAAACCAAACAAAGAAAAAACGGTTTTCTTTTATTCAGTCGTAATCTAATCTTTTTTTTTAATCGGTTTATCTCTCCCGAATAATTCCTTCTTCATTTCTGTCTTTTAAAAATATACTTATCACTTTTCTTACAAATTTTATACAATTCTCTGTTCATCGCCAGTTCTTTTCCGTTATTCCTTTTAGTTTTGCTAATACGCATTTTTTTTACTTCATTTCACATTTTTTTCTTCCTTTTCTAGTTTTCCTGTTCATTTACTTTCCTCAGTCAACCATTTCCCTTATTTCTTTTATAGATTTACGCTTTTCATGACTTGTTTCTTTGCTAATATTCTTTCTGACATAATCTTTTTTTCTTTCCTTTCTTTCATTTCTGTTTCTTTTGGCTCCAGCTAAAACTGTTGCGATGAATATCTGAACAGGCAGTGTGGAATCTCTTACGTCAATGACACCCTGTGCATCTCTTCACTCCGATCCTGTGTCTTTGGTTTAGTAATACCAAATTCAAAACTAACCGTAAACCTAACGTGGAATTGTAAAAAAAAATATATTAAGATGATTATTAGAGTTCTTAAAAGTTGGCCACAAAAAGTTTCAAATGATATTGTGATCCCGCTAGGTTAGTCTTTAATCATATATAAGTTTGCCAATACTAAGATTTTAATAATCCTCAACATGATCAACATCAGAGTCATATTAAATCCGAAAGTTTCGAAAAATATCAGCGTTTCATATCGGAAATTATGTATGGAATTTTAGCTCAAATTATAATGAAAGAGACTAACATTTCACAGAGAAAGACAGAAAATTTCAGTATGAGATTCAGGAAAACAGCTTTTCTCTCTCTCTCTCTCTCTCATTGTACTCTTGTGGACTAAGTACAAGTACCGGCACGATTAAATTATTTCCTTGAATCCTCACCCCATGTAGCTCTGATTATTTGGTGTGACACACCATTATTATTTAAAATATTACCCGCATTCATATAAAAATTCACAGCAGAACGTTTATTTGAATCGATACCATGACGTTCTTTACTAAAAGCCAAGTCGTAGTGTAACTGACGCCTAGAACTAGAGGCATGTTCTTAAACCCGTCATTGTACGGAGAACGAAGATTTTTAGTTTCAGCTTGGGTTTACGACAGTTTGCTGCTGTAGCTAGCTTGAAAAACTTTTGATTTTTACATTTGAAAATAAAAAAAAAAACAGCGTGAAAGATATTCGTAATCAAATGACTGCAATGTGGTTTTATCTGGGTCGGCGTTTTGTGACTTCCCACAGTATCGCTAGTAAAATCGAGATGTCAGAGTTTCAAATCACCGCCCCCTTTACCACCATTATCTAGAAGTAGGGAAAAACAAATAAAACAGATAAATATATGAAAGATTTCGGGATCAAATAGATACTCGGGCGGAGGTTAAAGAATTCAGTCAGAGGCCAGTCTGTAGAGATAGGCCAGGAAGAGAATCGTCATTCAGAGTCTGAGTAACGAAAGAGAGTCTGTTAGAGCGAGAAGGGAAGATCTTGCAAGCCGATGGGAAGATCGGGTCCGTTTGTCTGTCATGAGAGAAAACATATTCGCATAGTAGCAATAGCGAATATGCCCCAATGTCACTAATCTAATGCACATACACTACCAGGTTAATCCACGAATAAAGAATCCAGATTATTCTTTTCTTGCTTTTCACTTTGTTGAACGTACATCGATTTTCTGATCGATTCCTCGATTTTGTTCACACCGACGCAAACGCGGATCGAACCACAATGTGAGACACAAACTGACCAGTCGGTGAAAAACTGCTCGCGGAGACTGGCCGTATGTCTGCATCACCACCGAACGTGATCTCTTGAGAAGTCGTCGTTAAATCAGTTTTATTTTTCCTGGGATTATAAAATCAGCCTAAATAATAAGCAAAAACTGGTCATAATTTATTGATTGTTTATGAATCAACTGTTCCATCTATCAGCAGAGTAAGTATTGTATACCAGTAATATTGTATATATATATATATATATATATATATATATATATATATATATATATATATATATATATATATGCAAATCAGCGCCTTGAAAAGTGCCTGGCTGGGTATTAGCACCTGTAATACACATCTGACACAGACGGCAAAAGATTTCGCGATAGGCCAACGCCGCTTAAATAATCTAGAGCGTGCGTATAAATAAACGGATTCGTGGTTTTCTATTTTGGACAAAGTACGGGCGGCAAAGCATCTGCACCCCTTAGAGGTAGTATACATTAAATTGTGCCGAAAGCGTTCAAATCGTCTGAAGGTCGCGTGAGGGTGAAATTCAGATTACGACTAGGGTGATTCTTTAAAGGATTTAATTTTGTTAACAACTCCCTCGCCAATTATTCTGGGAAAAGTGTTTCATTTTGAGACGAATTTTTAAAAATTTGTTTTTAATATAGTAACTAAGAAAATAAGGTACCTTGAAGTACCCGAACGGTGGTTAACACCGCTACCAGACGTGAAGGTTAGGACTGGTGGAACTATGGTGTAGTCCATCTGAACACTCATCATGGAAATAACGATAAAGTAGTGAGAGGCTTGCGACGTCTCGTCTGTGAGAAAGGAGTAGCAGAGTGGAAAATAATTTGCTGCCTACAAGGACGTGGAAACGCTTTTGAACTTTATCGAGAGTGGAAAGTGAAGATTGAGTAGCTCCTGTCCAAATATGGTAGCAGTACTCCATTTCCGGCCTGATATGGCTCTTGTAAAGATAAAGGATAGCAGAAGGAGTGAGTTACTTACAGGAGCGGTACAGGAAACTGACCATTTTCGCAGCATCTTTAGCGATGGATCCTATGTACGAGTTCCACTTGAGGTTTGGTTTACGTCCCAAGAGGCGCTTATGGCAAGGAGCATCCCCGATCAGACCCAGAACTTTTCACCAATCGTGATGAACATATCCGTTCATTACGATTGGTGAAAGTTCTGGGTCCAATCGACGAATATTTTAAACAACAGTAATTTTACTGTCTCGATGAGAGCTCACAGAAGACAAGGTAAGGCACCTGATTTACCATAATAGACTCGTTAAAAAATTTTGAGTTGATCCTGAAGCCGAAAAAAAAACAAGATATAAAAAGGTGTAAATGAAAAAAAAACCGAGAGCGATATGTTTTTAAGGAGCTGACGTAGTAAAAAAAAAAAAAAAATGGACGACATCCAAATATTAACGTCTGACAGAAATTTTTTAATATTTTTCTCTCTGTCTTTTATCTCAATTTATTCATTTCTTTTTCTCTACAAGTTTTTCTTCCGGAGTTCATCTTTCATTCAAAGAACTTTGTACATTTTTTTTTATTTTGAGACACCATAATCCTAATATATTTTTAGAATTAAAAAACGATGTCAATTTATGAAATTTCTTTTAGTCTTTACTGACGCTACCTAAAAATTGATGGGACGTACCTTAAACTTAAGATAACTGCCTTATCCGCCAGTGCGAAAGGTCGGTATTCGAACCGGGATTCTGAAGATTGTTTTTGCAAGGCAAGCGGACTATTTGTTAGATTTTCGCAACACAGTTTTTCTAGACTTTTGTCCATCAACTTTCATACTAAGCAAAGCAAGTATAAAGATGCAAAATTCTTACTTCCTAAACATGGGAAATCATACACAGTTGTTTATGTAGGGGCACTTAAACGTGGTGTAATGGTTAACAAGCTTATCTCGCTACGACTGAAACGTAGGTTCGATCCTTACCGTGTCCTCCCAAAAATTCGGTTTTGTGCTGCATCTGAGCTACGCTTAGAAAATCACCATATTTGTTTGAGTCATAAATAATTCAACTTTATTCTTTAAAATATTAAATTTGGTTTCTCAAAACGGGAATTACTTATGACTCAACCTAATATTTTGGAAATGTTCTTATCGTCGACTTCTCAAGTTCTTAACACCAGTGCCTTCTATTTCGTCAAAATTTGTTCTGTCGTTCATTTTGTTTTTGTCTGGTTGTTTTCTTTTTCTTCGTTTTTTTTTCTTTTTTTGCATTTATTTCTTTATACCCTTTTCCCATTCCTAAAAACTTCTTTTCTTGCGCTTTTTTTCGTATTCTTTCTCCCTCACCTCCATTTCTGGTATCGCATCTTTGATCACTTAACGTTTATCAAGTTGGAAAATAGAATTCAAATTCTGATCGGATGTGTATTGTTCACTTCCAATAAATGCCCTGGTAAAAAAGCATGAATCCCTCTTTCTGTAGGCATAGTTTAAACAACAGGGCATACCCGTCTCTCTTGCCTTAGTAAGGCAACTAGTCTAAGAAAAGGACAACTTTGAATTCAAAACTAGTATGAAGAGGGAAGACTTTCGACAGACGATCTTGTGATATCATGGTAGATTGGGCTCTTTTGGTGGCAGCTAATATAGAAGAAGGACAACTTTGAATTCAAAACCGTGGAGAAAGCAACGGGAAACTACTCCACTGTCTTTCCCAAGTAGTTATAATAATAAAGAAATGCGATAGCCTATGAGTTGAATGGACATGCCATTAAGAAAATCTTTGATAATTTCTCCCCTTCGTCATTTTTGTCTTCACTCACTTCTTTGCGATTTTCCCTCCCATCGTATATTTCATTTCATTTATTATTTTTTTATTTATTTCTATATTTCTTCCTCCCACATTATTTGTTCCTCTTCTTTCTCTCCATTCTTCCTCTCTTTTTCTCTCCCTCCCTCCCCACTTCTTTCTCTCTCATCGCTACTCTTTCTAATTCTTTCTTTTCCCTCCTTGCTTCTTTCTCCTCATCCTTACTTCTCTCTCTCTTTGTCCTTACTTCTTTCTTTCTATCTCTCTCCCTACTTCTCTTACCGTTTTCTTCTTTCTCTCTCTCTTCCCACTTCTCTTTTTCTCTTCCTCCTTCCACACTTCTTTCTTTCTCTCTACCCTACTATTTTCTCTGTCTCCCTCCCCACTTTTTCCTCTGTCTCCCTCCCTACTTCTTGCTTTTTCCCCACCCTCATCGTCACTGATTTCTATCTTTCTTTTCACCTCCCTTTTACTTACTTCTATCTTTCTTTTCACCTCCCTTTTACTTACTTCTATCTTTCTTTTCACCTCCCTTTTACTTACTTCTATCTTTCTTTTCACCTCCCTTTTACTTACTTCTATCTTTCTTTTCACCTCCCTTTTACTTACTTCTATCTTTCTTTTCACCTCCCTTTTACTTACTTCTATCTTTCTTCTCACCTCCCTTATACTTCCTCCCTTCCTTCCTTGCTTGCTTCCTTCCTTCCATCCATCCATCCATCCATCCATCCATCCATCCATCCACTTATTTCTATCTTTCTTCTTCTCTATCTGTCTGCCTTTATTTTTCCTTTCCTACTAATCTTTTTCTTGATATTTTCCTCTCAAGTGATATCTATGTTCTTTTTCCCTTTTTAGATATGAGCGCCTCAAATATTGAACAAAATAAATAATTTAAAAATGTCTAAGTAACATTCTCCTTCAAGTTTTATGGGTTTCACTAGATATTTCTCATGACGGTGTTGTTTAAAACATTTCGCTTCCTATATAAATGCTCCCTTCTTAAAACTTATCGAAAAGGACAAAGTTGTGTTTGTGCTTCACTTAATCTCTTGACCATTGTGATAGCTTTATCTCTTTATGACGACGTACATCTGAATGCAATCTTTCTATATGGAAAAGACCTGGGCAATGTGAGAATTGTGTTAAAGAAAACTCCTTTGTTACTTGCTTATCTCTCGTCCCAACAAGATGATGATGCATTTATGATAAACAGTTACGGGGTCAAAACATAAAAAAGCGGGGAAATTTATTCAAGGTCAATGCGTTATGACTGAAGAACTTTTTATCTGCGATTTGTAAAGACAAGATTGGTATTTAGACAATGCAAAGTATTAGATTGCTTGAAAAGTAATGTACTTTTTTTGAAGGCGGTATAAAAACAAATGTTAAAATGTAGCAAACTTAAATTATGTGAACAAAATTTAACAATAATTATAAACAATAATAAAAATTTTCTGCAAAAATAATTTATTGACTTATTTATTTGTTGACATAATCTGGGATCTGTTATTTGTGACTCAAGGAGATTTGGATTAATCGTTTCTGACATAAGTATTAGTTTGCGAGATAACTAAATGGAATCACCAATTTGTAGGGGTTTGCTATTTTGTTGTATATTTTTTATTATTTAGAGATAGGATGTATATTCATGTGAGAGAGATAGGATAGTGATAGTGTGGTCGCATGGGGTGTTTTTTCTTGAACAGGAGATAAGAATAAAATTACAAACAATAAAATACATATAACATCAATATTTTATTGCCTTAGCAAAACTCAATACGAAGAATATAAAACTATGTCAGTGTAAGTATGTAAATTTGGATGTCCTTAATCATACATACGGTGTATATAAAGTCCTATTAAGATGTTGAGAGATCTATATTGTAGAAGTGTTTCTAGTTGGTTTGGGAGTTATTAGCTTCAGGCATTTGTATGTAGTGTTGTGTACAATGTGACACGTGGTTCGCTGGAGACTAAGAAGTACCGCTCAAAGGAAACGAGACACATCTTGTCGCTACGGCATGTGGAAAAAGAGTGAAGCTGTGCTACGCATAGTTCTTTTTTTTAAACACATGTTTGCCTGGACAAACAGGAGTGTAGTAAAGATTTATGAACAGCTGAGTGGAGCGGACTTTATGTTTATAATAAATAAAAATGGAACTAGCGTTTTTTTTAAAAGTCTAAACGAAGGAAAGCGAGAAGAAAGAACTAAATATAATCTACAAGAAGACAGAATGCATGGTTGTCAGCAAAAAGATGATCTGAAAATTTAAATTACAAATCGGAGATACTAAAATTAAACAAGTACAAACATTTAAATATCTGGGAAGCCTTCTAACAGAGGACGGAGATCCGAAGACACATTGGGATGGCCAAAGATGCATTCTAAATACTAATGAACTATGAAACAGAAAGAAAAAAATCGTTAGAAACAAAGAAAAGAGTACTGAAATATCACGTGATATCCGTTTGTCTATATGCCACTGAATACTGGACACTCTCCTCAGAAATGAAGATGTGACATGAAGCAACAGAAATGTGGCTCTGCAGAAAGATGCTGTGGATAACATGGACCAAATATGGGAGCAACGACAAGTTTTTAAAGAAAATGGAAATAAAAAGGAAACATACTTAACATCAGGAAGAAGCAGTTACAATTTCTAGGGCAAATAATGAAGAAGGATGGCTTGGAAAATCTGACACTTACAGGACAGATTAAGGGAAAGAAGGACAAGGAAAGCAGTGTGTAACAGCGTGTTTGAGTAAATGGATGGTAGAAAAGGGTTTGGGAGAAATAACAAAAGATAAAATTTATTAAGAGCTACAAGGGACAGAAAGATATGGAGAGCCATGATTGCCTATGTCCTGAAGGAACATGGAACATAAAGAAGTCTTACATTATACTGAAAGAGATGATAAAATTATTGCGTTATCATTGTGAAGAAGACATTTTAAAGCAAGAGCTAGATCAGGTCGGAAATTAATTATTGCTGCCCAGTCTCGATAGACTCCAAAAACAATCTCCGCATCCCTGTGGGTGATGAATTATTTTTCAGTATGCAACCCCTTTCTCACAGACGAAACGTCGCAAGCCTCTCTCTGCACTATCGCTATTTCCATGGAATATGCTCAGACGAACTACAATACTTAGTTCCACCAGTTCTAACCTTCAGGCCTAAGACCCACCCTGCGACGTCCATTGTAGCGAACCACCCTCATTCCATTCGTATTCTATTGGTGAGAAGGAAGTTCCACTGGAGTAGAGTTTTACCGCGAACCAGTGCACTGTGGGATCGACACCCAAGATGATGTTTTCCTAATCACTACAATCTTAACCTACTCAAGTCTAGGGTTAACCGTTATCTTCCGCACCCTTCCGTAAAAACCGTGCCTTTTATCCTGTAACACTCTACCGTGAGTGGCTCCTGAACCATGTAAACAGTAAACCTCACTGTAAAAACATTACTTGGTTCAGGGATACGTATACATGAGACGTTTATAGTTTATTCTATAAATATTTGGTTGGATCGGGAACAGATAAATATTGGTTGTTTATATTTGAGTTTATAAGCATTTACTTTTTTTCTTAGTTCTCACCAAGCAAGGCATTAAAGCCAGTGAGACATAAGTGGTGTATTGAATGGGGAAGAATTAGAAAACAGAAACAACACTAAGGATTGAGTAAAGAAGAAGAGTAATCAGGAGGACAATAAATAGCGATTGACATTTAAATGTTTGAAAATTAAAGTTGGCTGGAAAACATGAAGCCGGAAGGGAGTTCTGCAAGCGAGAAGTTCGAGAAAAGAAACTGTTAGCATATAACTTACGGTTACATTTATCCAACCAAACTGTATATCGATTAGACTTCGTTGCTAGTCAACTACTGCGCTTATATTCATAAAGTTTAGGTACCTCCGCGAAGAGCTCATTCAAACAATTACCATGAAAGTATTTATAAAAAAGGGAAGCAACTTTACGACGATGGGAAAGTGACTGAAACCGAGACACAAGGTCAGGACGAATAATATATGGGGGTAATATGCTGTCTAAATAGTGCACCACTAGCTGGCGAGGATTGTATTTTGTTATAAAGATTACCATTTCATTTCCAACCTCCGTTTTGTTTATTCCTCATTCAGTAACCCTCCATAGGTTACAACAATATTCTTCTTTGGATTTGTTATCAAGGATCTCTAGATATATAACAGGAGGACCGGAACATAATTGGCAACAATATTCTAAGCATGGACGAATGGCATATGTAAGATAGATTCTTGAGAGAAATATTGTCTAGCACGACATAGTGAACAAACTTCCTTAGCATCTGACTTAGCAATGGATTCAGTACAGTCATTCCACTTAAAGCCAGACGAGAACGTTAGCCCGAGAAGAGGCAACGTTTCGACTTTCCTGGATGTTAGCATCAGTCATGCTGATGAAAGGCAGAAAGGAGTCTCTCAGATGATTAACAGAGAGCAGTTTAGATTTGGAGGCGTTAAAAAAAACCATCATTTGCAGAAGGTTGTTTTAGACATCAGCAGCCAATTTACCGAGCTGATCAGAGTTACTATCGAGACGGGAGTAAATGGTTTTTGTCATCAGCGTAGATACCAAGTTGAGAGCTGATTCCATTGGGAAGTAGGACTAAGGATATAGACTTGGGAGACACCTGCGTTTGTATGGAAGGATCTGGAAGAGTGGCTACTCAGGATAACATTCATTTCACGATTTGATAAGACTGGATCAGTTCAAACAGTCCGGAGACATCGTTACTTTTCAATTTGTGAAGAAGACGTGTATACCAAACCTTGTCGAACGCTTTCAAGATGTCCAAAGGTACAACCTTGGCTACACCATTCTTATCTAGAGTTTGATAGGCTCTTTCCAAAATTATCTTCTGTTGACCTCGGGAAACGAAAGCCATATTGTTTGTCTGAAAAAAGGCCCTGCAATGTCAGATGCTTAACCAGTTCAGCATTGATTAGGGCCTCTCGTTTTTTCTCCCCAAAAGATAGAAGGATAATAGGCCGACTTGGTTCGGGGATAGTTTTATACAGGCCGTTTATGTTCGAGTTAGTATGCATTTACTGTCTTACCTTTCTCAGGAGATGCAGGCGGTGTCGGACGAAATTAGAACTCATTTGACACTAATTTAACATGGACACACGCTGGGACAATAAATACTAAGACATTCAACAAGGCGTAAGGACACACGGTAACGTACAAGCAATTTAAGTAAGTTTAAATCTTCTTGGTTTGTTGATAAAACCACGCCCTGTGCTAAAAATTGCTTTGTGTAAAAAATACGTCAACACCTGTGTTAATGCGTTCACGGACAAGGAAGCAACGTGTATTTTGGGAAACAGAGAATGAGAGAGGCATTGTCAACCTGACAATATCTATATATAATCTTTTTCTTTCTCCTTCCTTTGACACATACATTTTTTTTTTTTTACCTCTCCTCTCTCTCTCTCTCTCTCACACACACACACACACACACACACACACACACACACACACACATATAAATAAAATAAGAGGACATTAACACCCATTAACGACAGTCTGTTTTATGCTTAAACGCAATCATCAGGCCTGTTTAACCATGAAACAGACTGTCGCCGCTTGGTGTTGACCGCAATATCCATTTTTATATTTACATACGCGCTATCCCAGATATTGAGCACTTTAACCCACAAATATAGCATACATTAAAACTATATTTTTATCATATATATAAGTATATAGTTAATTTAAGCGCATGCGTGATTCACGTGCATTTATTCAGGTAGGGTGAGTTAATTATGTAACCGCCATTCCTGAATGAATTTTAACTATTTATTTAGATTTTAAAA